CAACTAGTGGCGGCATATCTGAAGCTCGCTCGTAACTCGGATTTTGGCTCGCAACTCAAAACAAAAAATCGACCGAGCGACAGCTCGTAACTCAGAAAACTCGTAAGTTGGGGCACTCGTAAGTCAAGGTACCACTTTACTAGTACTACAAGTTGTAATAGAATAGCACTAATATTACAAATTACAATAGAATAGCACTAGTACTACATCAGTGGACCAAGTCCACTATTTCAGAAGACAGTTGGACGATCATGAAATATTTAGTATTTTATAACTTGGAGGTTGTGGACAATTGGCATTATTATACACCCCACTCTTCCCTATTAGTCCGTTAATGAGAAGTTTCACTGTAGGATATTGAAAGTTTCGTTTCAGTGGACATAGTCTCCTTAGTCCAGACACAGACAAACTCCCAATGAAATGTATTTGGCTGATTGTGTTGATTGACTACTGGACATACTTAAAATATACAAGAATATAATATTACAGTACAGTACTTTATAGTATAGCTGTACCTTTTCCTGAGTCAGAGGAACCACACAGCTCCAAGAGTAACATTGCAAATAGTGTGGGAGATATACAAGCACCATCACTTGCTTTGGAGGCCATTGTTAGCTCTTAAAGTGCTGAGAGGCTAAAAAAAAAAAAAATACCATATTATCTATTAAATGTTGAAAAATCTGGTGGTAATAAAACAGAACTGAAATGCAAGCAGTGCTTACATAATTATGCAACTGCAAAGTTGGCACTTTTGGAACTTGGTGTGGCACCATCAGGTAGTGCCCCCTCAATATGTAATAATGTAACTGATAATTTTTCAACTTTTTCTTCAATAAATGTAGTCTTTTTTGCTTTGTTGTCACTAATATTGGGTAAAACTTTAATTCTTATGGATTATTTACATGTAAAAACAGTGCTTCAAAACTTAAACATTATTTACATCATATTCACTGAAAATATGCAGCAATACCTTGCATAATACGGTTATTGTGTGTGAAAAAATACTGTACTGTGCAATACCATACTGATCAAGGTATTATTATAATGTGTTTTAATGTAATGTGTTCCAACAGTGCAGATAAATGTGTCGGATCACAAAAGTATTTAGCTGTTTGCTTAGTACAAATCAGTGCACACAAAACTCTTGCACACACTTACAAATAAAGAGGTTATAAAAGATAATAATGAAAAAATAGTAGTACTAAAGATTTTTATTACAGTTGTAAATAAACAATGTACCACATAAAGAAAAAGATAATTTTTATTTTGAAAATTAGTTAAAGAACATAGTTTGCACAGTTTTTCTTCTTTTTATCGCATACATATCTGTATAGCAATGAATATCATTTTGTAATGCCTGCCTAACTCTAATGCCTCGTTCAGTGTTTGGATCTGTGTTCATTATTGTCACAGGCATCTTCTACTTTCACAGTTTACATTGATAGTTCATATAATATGAATTCTTTTGGAGCTTAGCATTTTCTTCTTGATATTCCTCTGTTTCTTCATGTAAGTGTTGCTGATCCATTTCTACAAATGTTGCATCATCAAGGTCATTGAAATGTGAGTCAATTGATGCACATTTTCTCTATCCAAAGCTTCTAATCTAAGATGATCTTTCCCAAGCTGCACAATGTTTTCACAGAAAGTTTCAATAGAAGTTTCAAAACCGGCAAAATCATTGAAACAATGCGGTGATGCATTGCTTGATGACATATTCTTCTGAAACAAACCTATTTTGTCTGCTTTAAAAATTTGCATCTTTGTTGTCATTTTCTCCAGTCATTTTTTTTTTTAGATCATTAGGAAATCTTGTAGCTGCCTCATTGTCTGCACTGGCACTTTGACCTGTAATTTGAATATTATGGAATCCCATATGCTTTTTAAAGTTGTAAAACCAGCCACAACTGGACAAAAAACTGGAAAACATTAGGATGTGTTTCCACAAGACACCTGTTGCCGTATTCCCCCATCAGTAAAATGGGTACCTGGTGGTTAGTTGACTGGTGTGGGTCACATTTTGGGACAAAATTGATTTAATTTACCCGAAATGCTCTGCATAATAAGGAGTTTTCTGTATAGTGGTATGTCACTGATGTCAGCTAGGCCTGTATACCTTATGCATGTACAGTGGACCCCCGCATAACGATTACCTCCGAATGCGACCAATTATGTAAGTGTATTTATGTAAGTGCGTTTGTACGTGTATGTTTGGGGGTCTAAAATGGACTAATCTACTTCACAATATTCCTTATGGGAATAAATTCGGTCAGTACTGGCACCTGAACATACTTATGGAGTGAGAAAATATCGTTAACCGGGGGTCCACTGTACTTGTAGAAATAAATATATATTATTATTATTACAATATTATTATTATATATTGCCATTTTATTTTTTTCAACATTGAATAGAGACTTGTTGCTTTAGCTTGAATCGTCATCTGACTTAATGGAATTCTTTTCTGGCTGCAGTCTTCACTCCATAACATTAAAAGATGGTCCACATTATCCATTTCAGAATTTCGATTTTTAAGAATCACTTTTGACATAAGAGATGTTGTAGCCACTCCATGTTATTTTATTTATCTTTATTCCTTATATGCACATATACTGATGCTTCATTCATTTTCTTATCATGTGCTGTTTTAGCATACACTGTACCATCTTTATATTTTATAATTTCTAGTTTTTATGTAATGTTAACAATTTATGTTTACTAGAATGCTCAGCATCATTGCATTTCCTCTTTCCACTTATATTTGTGCATAAAAGGGGTACTAGTAGTTTATATAATAAAAAAAATTGTGCATGTACGTACTGTGTAAAACTACGTGACTTCACTGCTTGGAGTCGAGCGATACTGACGTTCGCATTGTGCTAGTCCGGTACATAGCAGCAGTCCAATATCGGTGCATAATGCGGTTAAATAAAATTTATATTATTAAATTTATAAACTGTATTATATCAAATCCAGTACTGTTCAAAACCATACTATGCAAAGTATTACTTTATAATGTTTTGTTTATATTTATTGTTTGTGATGTTCTGTTAGATATTATTACTATTTACAGGTGCTGGTTATTTTCTTAGAACTGTTGTAGTGTGTGGAAGTCTTTGAAACATGGTATCAGAGAGTGGTAAACAAAGTCATAGCAACATGTGGTTCCCACAATGCACTTGCAGGCTGGGATTTTTTCTCAATAGTGCACACCTACTGCACACACCCATTCTTTGTTGTGTGGGCTGCTTGTGCTTCTTGCACCAAATTTGAAACTGTGAATTTGAGTTACCAGCACTTTTCAGGGTACTTTAACTCTTTTGCTGTCAGTTATGTAGATCTGTGTCATTGAAGCCAGGGTCCCTGACAAAGTTCTACGTCATGAGCTCAACTCGCTCAAATAAGCTAACTGTTTGCAGTAAATTTTGGCATGGATATGAGAGACTGGGTCTGTGCAGTAAGTGCACATATAAAAAAAATCCTGCCCCAAATGGTGCATGATGGGAAAACAAAACTTTTGACTGTATATATGGTTTAAAATAGCAACTGTGTTTTTTTTTTCAGAATTTTTATGGTTTTAGTGGCTGTTCTTGGTATCATTTGATAAAATGGAAGACATATTACTGAAACAGAGATGATTTTTATTGGTTTCAGGACTGGAACTAGCTTGAAACTGAAGTCTAATAGTGGAAATATTTGATTTTTGCTGATATGAGACTATTTTATGGGCTCTTTATAGGTCTGATTCAATTATTGGGATACTATAAACCATGAACAAGCTTTCCTGGTTATATTTTATTATCCAAGAAATAGAGTAAAGCTATTTTTGTGTGAATAAGATTTCAAAATGAAAAGCAAGGATAATATAAGAGAGGAAATGTTGTTTTAGTGCCAGGAATGTCTATATTGTTTATTATGGACTTTATTTTTAAATTGTTATTTTTTTTATTTTGTATGAAATTGGCCAAATTACCAAATTCAAATCACTTTATTGGGTAGTTGAAATAGATGAATGGGCTGTTTCTTATGCTCATTCAATAGAATGGAAGGAATACTAGTGAAATAGCAAAGAATTTGGATAAATTGTGCCAAGATCGTTAGCTTTGCACCTAAGTAATTCCGTGAGTTTTCCATCAAATTTTGTACTTTTGGTGTCATTACATTCAGGGAAAAATTCTCTACTATTTCAGTTTTTTGATATTGAGAACAAGTTTTATTTTAGGGATCTGGAAAAAGAGAAGGGGTTAATAAAGTTTTGGAAAACACTGTAAACCCAGGGAGACATTGGAGACACAATGATGACAGTATGTGAGCGCATGCACAGACAGAAAAAACTAACATGAACTGAATCACTGGCCCTGCTGTCCAGGAACAATGAAAATGAACACCTCCCGAATTAAGCCCGAAATGGACAGACTGGTTCATGTTAAAACTTTTTTTTTTATAGAGTTAATAAATGATTACCAGGATGATTGAAAATTCTTGAATGGGCAGACTGAACGTATATGATATCCTGTAAAGTACATAGTCTATGTTTTTCAGTAACTGTAAACTCTTGGCTTAGCTTGGTTTATGAAGCAAAGTATTAGGCTATCACAGGAAGTGGCCTACCACAGTCATCTAACGCTCGGGTATCTGTTTACTGCAAGGTGAATGTGGTTGCAGGTGTAAAAAAAACTTGCCTACATGTCTCGCCCTGTGTGGAATTTGAACCGAATACCATTTGGTTGTAAGTCACCTAACACTGGCTACTTTGCTAGTGTTTGAAAATTTAATTGTCATTACTTTTTTACTAATTTGAATATGGCTTTATTGGTGGAAAAAAAAGACATATCAAAATGAGATCATTTATTGTTATGACATTTTGCTATTAGAAGCTTTATAGGTGAAATGCTGGGATAATAAAAATTCTCTTATTCCTATACATGTCTTTTCCACCACTTGTCAGCTCACAGTCATACTCCTACTGTAATGTTATTAATATTTTGCAATCATTTTAGAGACCAAGCTCAGAAAGGGGAAGATGATGAAAGTGTTGATGACCCTAGGAAGCTCAAACCTGGAGAAATTGACCCAAATCCAGAAACAAAGCCTGCTCGACCTGACCCAAAAGATATGGATGAAGATGAGTTAGAAATGTTGTCTGAAGCCCGTGCACGTCTGGCCAACACCCAGGGCAAAAAAGCCAAGAGGAAGGTAAAACTTGCTCATTTTATTAAATATAGTTGATGCTGTTCTTCAAATTTAGAAAAATGGAATATGGGATGCCCCCTAAACAACTCAAACAACATTATTCAAACATTTTTATGTCCCTGTCAGCCAGTTTTTCTATGCAATACAGCACCTTGTATCTCAGGAAAGAATGGGCTGACAACTTATTATTATAAGCAATTCTTTTCATGTTTTATCATACAATATTTTAAAATATACTGTAGTAGCTAAATCTTAAAACAACCTTAAAAAAGAATCTGAGCAGTAGTGCCGGCACACCTTAATGGGAGAAGGTTGGTATGTTAAAAAAATTTCTAGCTATAGTATCTTTGTGGAAAAGAAATTCAGGACAGTTCTGTTTACAAATTCAGAAAATGCAGATAGACATATAACTTTCTAAAAAGTTAGCTAATGAAGCTTAAAGAAAATGGTTCTTGTATTTTTTCTGTCCCTATTGGTTCTCCTATAAGACTTCAGTATCCAGATAAGTCTATTAATACAGTATAATTAAGATACTAAATGCTGCAAAGAGTTTTTATGAGGATAGTGAGGCTCAGGTTAGGGCGTGTAGAAGAGAGGGAGACTACTTCCCAGTAAAAGTAGGTCTTAGACAGGGATGTGTAATGTCACCATGGTTGTTTAATATATTTATAGATGGGGTTGTAAAAGAAGTAAATGCTAGGGTGTTCAGGAGAGGGGTGGGATTAAATTATGGGGAATCAAATACAAAATGGGAATTGACACAGTTGCTTTTTGCTGATGATACTGTGCTTATGGGAGATTCTAAAGAAAAACTGCAAAGGTTAGTGGACAAGTTTGGGAGTGTGTGTAAAGGTAGAAAGTTGAAAGTGAACATAGAAAAGAGTAAGGTGATGAGGGTATCAAATGATTTAGTTAAAGAAAAATTGGATATCAAATTGGGGAGGAGGAGTATGGAAGAAGTGAATGTTTTCAGATACTTGGGAGTTGACGTGTCGGCGGATGGATTTATGGAGGATAAGGTTAATCATAGAATTGATGAAGGAAAAAAGGTGAGTGGTGTGTTGAGGTATATGTGGAGACTAAAAAAACTTTATTTATGGAGGCAAAGAAGGGAATGTATTAAAGTATAGTAGTACCAACACTCTTATATGGGTGTGAAGCTTGGGTTGTGAATGCAACAGCGAGGAGGCGGTTGGAGGCAGTGGAGATGTCCTGTCTAAGGGTAATGTGTGGTGTAAATATTATGCAGAAAATTCGGAGTGTGGAAATTAGGAGAAGGTGTGGAGTTAATAAAAGTATTAGTCAGAGGGCTGAAGAGGGGTTGTTGAGGTGGTTTGGTCATTTACAGAGAATGGATCAAAGTAGAATGACATGGAGAGCATTTAAATCTGTAGGAGAAGGAAGGCGGGGTAGGGGTCGTCCTCGAAAAGATTGGAAGGAAGGGGTAAGGGAGGGTTTGTGGGCGAGGGGCTTGGACTTCCAGCAGGCGTGCATGAGTGTGTTTGATAGGAATGAATGGAGACAAATGGTATTTGGGACCTGACGATCTGTTGGGGTGTGAGCAGGGTAATATTTAGTGAAGGGATTCAGGGAAACTGGTTATTTTTATATAGCCGGACTTGAGTCCTGAAAATGGGAAGTACAATGCCTGCACTCTAAAGGAGGGGTTTGGGATATTGGCAGTTTGGAGGGATATGTTGTGTATCTTTATACATATATGCTTCTAAGCTGTTGTGTTCTGGGCACCTCTGCAAAAACAGTGATTATGTGTGAGTGAGGTGAAAGAGTTGAATGATGAAAGTATTTTCTTTTTGGGGATTTTCTTTCTTTTTGGGTCACCCTGCCTCGGTGGGAGACGGCTGACTTGTTAAAAAAAAAAAATTAAGATACTATTACAGGCTGAACCTGCATTAATAATTTCATTGAATTTTTTTCTTTAGGCTCGTGAAAAGCAACTTGAAGAGGCAAGAAGATTAGCTGCTTTGCAGAAACGTAGGGAGCTCAGAGCTGCTGGCATTGATCTACCTCAGAAACGAAAAAAGCGAAAAGGAGTTGATTACAATGAAGAAATACCGTTTGAGAAAAAACCAGCACCAGGCTTTTATGATACTTCACAAGAAACTTATGACCCTATGCAACCCAACTTTAAACGCCTTCGGCAACAGCACCTTGATGGTGATCTGCGGTCTGAAAAAGAGGATCGGGAGAGAAAAAAGGATAAACAAAAATTAAAGGACCGAAAAGAACAAGGCGTTCCTAACTCTGTGTTTGAGAATGGAGAGGCAAAAACCAAAAGGAGTAAACTGGTATTGTCTTCACCACAGATATCTGAAGAAGAATTAGAACAGGTGAGAAAGCGGTCTTGTTTTTTTTTTAATACCTTTCACATATGTATCCAGCATATTGACTAATAAGATAGTATACTGGTTCGTGGACAGCAACCATCCAGGAAGGTACTATTGTCTTGTATGAGTGTGCAATGAAAGCTTGTTAAATGTTTTGCACTCTGGCAAGATTGTTTTTTTTTTTTTCTGTTTCATGTAAAAATGATAAGTAAACCTTAAACTTCCACTTACTTTCAGTATGCACATGCTTTTCTTTCGTGTAATTATGTTATTAGCTCTTAATTTTAAAATATTTCTGTTTCATCTTATGATGTCTGATCTGGGACTGTTAAGTGGGAGATAATTCCAAATCAGTAATGGATAAAACACTTCTTTGTTTCTGGCATGTGTATATTCTTTCCACAGCTGATGTTGCCTTGCCTATGAAGTAAGCTTTTCATATTTTCAGCTACCATTTTGCTTCTGGTCTCCCATATATTACCTTCACTTTGCTTCTTTATTGAATCTCTTAGTTTTTTATCCCATTGCATTCTGGACTACGATTTAAACTAGTCATTGTAAAAATCATGAAACTTTAGATTTTAAGTTTTTTATTGGCAGTGTTTTATAGAATAAAACAGGGACATATGAAAAGGAAGAACTCTAGCATGCAAAATCACCAGACATGAGCCTTTGTTAAATGAATGCCCATTTGAAAGTGCTAGACCTATAGTAGAGGTGCTTTATAATTAATAATGTGGTTCTAGGAATGGTGATGTCTAAGGACACGGATATGAAGGTGGGGCATGGGTATAAAGACAGAATATGCAGAACAATCTTTAACTGGGACATTTTGCTCAGGGTGGAGCTACCCTAAATAAAATGTAAAAATCTTTGATTTGTATACACGTAGAGTCTTCATTCCCATAAACTATCAGCATTCTTTCTTCCTTCAACGAACCAGCCATATCCCACCAAGGCAGGGTGACCTAAAAAGAAAAATGAAAGTTTTTCTTTTTAAATTTAGTAATTTATACAGGAGAAGGGGTTACTAGCCCCTTGCTCCAAGCATTTTAGTCGCCTCCTACAATACACATGGCTTACAGAGGAAGAATTCTGTTTCACTTCCCCATGGAAGTGGAACAGAATTTTGACATTATGCATGTGAATTCATGAAAGTGGGGTAGCCATTGGCCCTATGGTGAACCAAAGTAGCAGCAATTACTGGGTTCTTGGTGCTCTATTTGGTGGTCTGGGTGAAAAATGTGTGACAGATATGCCTTGTGTTGAAATTGTAGTGTATATTGAGTGTAAAGTCTTTGTCTTACTATTGCAAATTTTCATGTAGTAACCTATAATTTATATGTAAATTTCTGAATAAATGTCATATACTGTAATTTCAGTATGGGAATACAATACTGTATTACTACATGTGATTCCTTCATTTTTATAAATCTTGAAAGTAGTGATTATTCTTGCTATATCACAATTGTTTTTTTGTACATAGGACTGAAAGTCTATCCTCTTTCTTACCAAGAATTGTGCTGATCAGCTGAAAACTGAAGTATATACATGTATTACATTATTCAGATGAAAAACTTAGTTTCATGAATTTTTTCTAGGTTGTAAAATTGGGAAAGGCTTCAGAAGCTGCAAGAGAACTGGCAGAAGAAGTTGGAGGAAGTGGTGCATCTCAGGCTTTATTAGCTGAATACAATGTGACTCCTGGTCAGGCCATTCGCACTCCTCGTACACCAGCTGACATGGATCGTGTAATGCAGGGAGCACATGACATAATGGCTTTGACTCATGTTGATACACCACTGAAAGGGGGTATAAATACTCCCCTCAATCAGCAAGACTTTGGTGGTGTTGAGCCCAGCAAAGCTGCAATTCAAACCCCCAATATAGTTTTAGGTACTCCATTCCGAACACCCTCAGGCACTCAGATAACTACTCCAGGCCGCACACCTGGAGCACTCACACCAAGAGGTCAGCCATTACCCCCAGGATCAACTCCAGGTGCAACACCCATTAGAGATAAGCTAAATATAAATGAGGAAGGTGCCCTAGTACCCATAGATGATCGCCAAGCTCTTAAAGCATACCAACGTAATATGAGAGAAGCTCTCCAGTCAGGTCTCAAATCCCTTCCTGCACCCAAGAATGATTTTGAGATCGTTGTACCTGATCAGGAAGATGGTCAGCCAGGAGATGAAGACAAGGAACGAGGAGAGCCTGTGGTGGAAGACCAAGCAGATTTGGATGCAAGGTAACTTGTGTGAAAGTTACGGTTAATGGTATTATGAATGAAAAGTTAACTATTAAACTGAAGGTGTGTCATAAGGTGTTTTATTTGATTAAAGCATCAGAAGGTTTGGTATAATTATGTAAAACTTTCAAAGGGGAGTAAAAGCAATCAAGAGAAAGGTACTTTACATGTGCTGTAAAAGTGTAATATTTGTCTAGATAAAGAAATATTGATAGCTGAGAATTATGTTTAGTAAGGATGTTAATAGAAAGTTCAAAAGCATAGTGAAATAAAGCATGGTGGGTGCTTTGAGAACCCTTGTGAATATAAAATGGTTGAGTCTTAACTGTTCAGGAAGCCAATATGGACACCAGTATCATCTGTATATGTGGTTTTGAATTAATATTATTAATAAATTAATTGATAAGTGCTAAATTTATAATTATTATACAATGTTTGGAGAATGGAAACAGGTTCAATCTGAGGAAGGGGAAGATAGCTTTAATTTCTTAGATCAAGAGCCCTTTGGCAGCACCAAGGCATCCCTCTAAAAGGGATATGAGGTTGTAAAAGAGTTTTTTAGTCTTAAATAATTATTATTTTATATATTATTATTTTGCTGATTATTATTATTCACAAAAAAGTACTGAACCCATGTGGGGCATTCAGTGATGCAAGGAAAGGTAAGCATGTTTAAAAAGAAAGATGAAGGGTGGAAGGTGAGTACACAGGCATGAACAATAAATCGGTGTTATTCAAAGAGAATAAGCATTGAAGTTGAGAGGTTACGGAGAGGAAAGGTGTTAAAACATTCCTGGGCTTTAAAAGAGAAGTTGAAAAGGAAGGCAGTCTTTCAAAAGATATTGGACTATTATTACAAAAATTCTCCCAGTGGCACTGGGAACCTCTCCGTGAGATGGCTCCTCGGTGAATCTGGTGTGACCAGTATGTGGTGCCAAGAATACTGTTTCCAACAGTTTACAGCAACAAAGAAAGCACTCTCAGATTGCCATGAGTAATAATAGTACATCAGAGGCATTAATTACTATGGATGTTTAAGGCAAAATGAATGGTATGTGGTGGAATAAACTCTCTTGATTCCAATAGCCAAACTAATGGAGGGACAGATAATTCCTGATCTCTAATTATCACCCAATTCTTTTAAAAAAAGTTAACCTTACTTTCCAGCAGTTTGCAAGTGGAATTGTTAAAAGTGTTGTCTATAATGGGACACCCCCCATCCTTTCAGCTGATGTTCTTCCTGCTAAGCAACTAGGCATGTACAAATAGTGTGCGTATCATCCACTTACCATATGGAGGGTCAAGCCTTTATCTCTTCATCCACTTAATGGTCCATATGGGTTTAGCTCTTCACATAAAATTAATAATAATTATAATGATGCCTTTCCCTCATCGTCTCCACTTCTCATTCCCTGCCATATCCCCCAGTATCTCTCTTTCCTTCAAAGCAGATGTTTTGGAAGAGGCACTGGAAGAAAGCTAGCAGATATTAAGTATTGCTGTAGGGTCTTAACTTTTAAAGATTGAAAGATGGTGTACAGTGGAACCTCAAAAATCGAACTGCTCCCAACACGACCAGTTATGTAAGTGTATTTTTGTAAGTGCTTTTATAAGTGTATTTTTTGAGGGTCTGAAATGGACTAATCTAATTTACATTATTCCTGATGGGAATAAATTCATTCGGTAAAGGCACTCGAACAGCCTTCTGGACCGAAGAAAGTTCGATATTTGAGGTTCCACTGTATTAGTGAATGAGTTTGGTGTGATGAGTTTTCAATGTGCTTGATTCTTTTTAAGGTCTGTATTGGAATAAAGGAGCCATTTGATAAAGAAAATAATGAATGCTATTAAAATGATGGTGGTCATATTTAAAAAATCTTATAAACATAAATTATTGTTCATCTTTATATTAGCCTTAGTTGACATTAAATAAGTATATTTTCAAATTGTATCATATATTCCATTTCAAAAAAATCCTGACAGTACTTTATAAAATTAGGTTTATTACTAAGAGATATACTGTGACACTTACTGCATTTTAGGGCTGTAGCTGATGCAGCTGCCCGCCGAGATGCTGAAATGAAAAAGCGTTCACAGGCAGTACAAAGAAACTTGCCACGGCCTCAAGAAGTGAACTCATCAGTGTTAAGGCCCATGCATGCTGATATTCACCTCTCAGATCAGCAGAAAGCAGAGGAATTAATTAAGCGGGAAATGGTGACCATGCTCCATTATGATGCCTTACACACCCCAGCTGGTCTTCCAAGTCGCAAAGGTTAGACACTGACTCATTGCCCACCAAGGTAGGGTGACCTGCAAAAGAAGAAACACTTTCACCGTCATTCACTCCCAGAGGCAGGCCGATACCACAATTCGGTGTCCTCTCCAGACTGCAAATATCCCCACCCCTCCATCAGACTGCAGGCATTGTACTTCCCACTTCCAGGATTCAAGTCTGGCTAACCAGTTTCCCTGTTCAATCCAAAAACCATTTGCCATCCACTTACTCTTATCTAATGTGTTCACACATGTCTGTTGGATGTAGAAGCCTTTCGTACACAAAACATATGTACAAGTACCATCCGACTTATGACCGAGCTTGGCTGGCTGGCCGGCCGGCCGGCAGGCAGGCAGGCACACTGAATTTGGATATATATCTCTCTCTCTATATATATATTTTTTTTTTTTTTTTTTTTCAACAAGTCGGCCGTCTCCCACTGAGGCAGGGTGACCCAAAAAAGAAAGAAAATCCCCAAAAAGAAAATACTTTCATCATCATTCAACACTTTCACCACACTCACACATTATCACTGCTTTTGCAGAGGTGCTCAGAATACAACAGTTCAGAAGCATATACGTATAAAGATACACAACGTATCCCTCCAAACTGCCAATATATATATATATAAATATATATATATATATATATATATATATATATATATATATATATATATATATATATATATATATATATATTTATTTTTTTTTATTTTTATTATTTATTTTTTTTTTTTTTTTTTTTTTTTTTTTTTTTTTTTTTTTTTTTTTTTTTTTTTTTTTTTTTTTTTCAACAAGTCGGCCGTCTCCCACCGAGGCAGGGTGACCCAAAAAAGAAAGAAAATCCCCAAAAAGAAAATACTTTCATCATCATTCAACACTTTCACCACACTCGCACATTATCACTGTTTTTGCAGAGGTGCTCAGAATACAACAGTCTAGAAGCATACACATATAAAGATACACAACATATCCCTCCAAACTGCCAATATCCCAAACCCCTCCTTTAAAGTGCAGGCATTGTACTTCCCATTTCCAGGACTCAAGTCCGACTATATGAAAATAACCGGTTTCCCTGAATCCCTTCACTAAATATTACCCTGCTCACACTCCAACAGATCGTCAGGTCCCAAGTACCAATCGTCTCCATTCACCCCTATCTAACACGCTCACGCACGCTTGCTGGAAGTCCAAGCCCCTTACCCACAAAACCTCCTTTACCCCCTCTCTCCAACCCTTTCGAGGACGACCCCTACCCGCCTTCCTTCCCCTATAGATTTATATGCTTTCCATGTCATTCTACTTTGATCCATTCTCTCTAAATGACCAAACCACCTCAACAACCCCTCTTCTGCCCTCTGACTAATACTTTTATTAACTCCACACCTTCTCCTAATTTCCACACTCCGAATTTTCTGCATAATATTTACACCACACATTGCCCTTAAACAGGACATCTCCACTGCCTCCAACCGTCTCCTCGCTGCTGCATTTACCCCCCAAGCTTCACACCCCTATAAGAGTGTTGGTACTACTATACTTTCATACATTCCCTTCTTTGCCTCCATAGATAACGTTTTTTGACTCCACATATACCTCAACGCACCACTCACCTTTTTTCCCTCATCAATTCTATGATTAACCTCATCCTTCATAAATCCATCCGCCGACACGTCAACTCCCCAAATATCTGAAAACATTCACTTCTTCCATACTCCTCCTCCCCCAAATTTTATATCCAATTTTTCTTTATCTAAATCATTTGACACCCTCATCACCTTACTCTTTTCTATGTTCACTTTCAACTTTCTACCTTTACACACATTCCCAAACTCATCCACTAACCTTTGCAATTTTTCTTTAGAAATCTCCCATAAGCACAGTATCATCAGCAAAAAGTAACTGTGTCAATTCCCATTTTGAATTTGATTCCCCATAATTTAATCCCCCCTCTCCCAAACACCCTAGCATTTACTTCCTTTACAACCCCATCTATAAATATATTAAACAACCATGGTGACATTACACATCCCTGTCTAAGACCTACTTTTACCGGGAAGTAGTCTCCCTCTCTTCTACACACCCTAACCTGAGCCTCACTATCCTCATAAAAACTCTTTACAGCATTTAATAACTTACCACCTATTCCATATACTTGCAACATCTGCCACATTGCTCCTCTATCCACTCTATCATATGCCTTTTCTAAATCCATAAATGCAATAAAAACTTCCTATCTTTATCTAAATACTGTTCACATATATGCTTCAATGTAAACACCTGATCTACACATCCCCTACCCACTCTAAAACCTCCTTGCTCATCCGCAATCCTACATTCTGTCTTACCTCTAATTCTTTCAATTATACCCTACCGTACACTTTTCCTGGTATACTCAGTAAGCTTATTCCTCTATAATTTTTACAGTCTCTTTTGTCCCTTTCCCTTTATATAAAGGGACTATACATGCTCTCTGCCAATCCCTAGGTACCTTCCCCTCTTTCATACATTTATTAAACAAAAGTACCAACCACTCCAACACTATATCCCCCCTGCTTTTAACATTTCTGTCATGATCCCATCAGTTCCAGCTGCTTTACCCCTTTCATTTTACGTAATGCCTCACGTACCTCCCCCACACTTACATTCTGCTTTCTTCACTCCTAAAAGATGTATACCTCCCTGACCAGTGCATGAAATTACTGCCTCTGTTTCTTCCTTAACATTTAAAAGTTCCTCAAAATATTCTCGCCATCTACCCAATACCTCCATCTCCCCATCTACTAACTCCCCTACTCTGTTTTTAACTGACAAATCCATATTTTCCCTAGGCTTTCTTAACTTGTTTAACTCACTCCAAAATTTTTTCTTATTTTCATTAAAATTTCTTGACAGTGCCTCTCCCACTCTATCATCTGCTCTCCTTTTGCACTCTCTCACCACTCTCTTTACCTTTCTTTTACTCTCCATATACTCTGCTCTTCTTATAACACTTCTGCTTTGTAAAAACCTCTCATAAGCTACCTTTTTCTCTTTTATCACACCCTTTACTTCATCATTCCACCAATCACTCCTCTTTCCTCCTGCCCCCACCCTCCTATAACCACAAACTTCTGCCCCACATTCTAATACTGCATTTTTAAAACTATTCCAACCCTCTTCAACCCCCCCACTACTCATCTTTGCACTAGCCCACCTTTCTGCCAATAGTCGCTTATATCTCACCCGAACTTCCTCCTCTCTTAGTTTATACACTTTCACCTCCCTCTTACTTGTTGTTGCCACCTTCCTCTTTTCCCATCTACCTCTTACTCTAACTGTAGCTACAACTAAATAATAATAATATTAAACTATAATATAATATAGTGTTTACTCATTACTTACCTTAAAATATCTGTAGTCTTAATGTAGAGTGAGAGGTGAGTAAACAAGATTAAATGAATAAACGAGAGAGAGAATGAGTGTAGAAGGTTCGCGAGTTTTGTAAACAAACTAGTTGTTGTTGTTACCAGCCCGGACACAAATGGTTTTTGTTCACTCTGTCAAGCCGACTGGAAAAACATCTCATATTTATGTTAATTTACATGTTACATAGTGTGTTTATTATATAATTTTGAAAAAAAATCATAGATGGATTAAGCAAAATGTCTATATTAACATTTTATACACATTTAATGCACCTCAGAGTGATTATTGTTGTGTTATTATTATCATTATTAATATGGCGTCCATTCTGGAGTGTATATCAGGTTTTTATGTTATATTGTTTATTATGTCATATTAGATGAATTGTGATAGATAAATAAGCTGTATAGTGATATTAGCATCATATTGAAGATGTGACAACTCTGCTTTGTGTGTAATACCTGTTGGTTCATGAGCGGCTCTGAGACAGAGCGACAAGCAGACAGAAAGACAGACAGACACACAGGTAGACAGACAGACACACAGGAAGACAAAAGACAGATAGACAGACAGAGACAGATACAGACAGACAGATATACAGGCAGACAGATACAGATTTATGTGCAACAGTGAAAACAAATAGAGTTCGAGTGTAAGAGCCTTTCTTGCCTTCTTGCCACATTCTCCAGTGCAAAATTCAGACTTCCTCTTAGGGACCATGGTGAAATTTACTGCCCAGTTAATACAGTGCATATGATGCTACTGATAGGGCAGGGTAACTCAAACTGATGCTGCCTGCATGGCGCATTGCCGCCGTGAGTACCGTCAAATATTGTACAGTGGCATGTATCAGCCATCCCAGCCCAGCTGCCAGATGTACGGTTGAAAGTCAAGTGGACATATGTCGAGCAGGTCGTAAGTCGGATGGTAGGTGTATATGAATATAACTCACAGAACACCACACCAGACAAATGTGAATGTGTGCACTCATGTGCACACTCATTCATGCATATGCATACACGTGCAAGCATGCATAGGTTGAACCTCAATAGTCCAGCAAGCTTGGAACCAGACAGGTAGTGGACTAGCAGATTTTTAAAACCAGTGAAGCTTAGGGTAAAAAAAATGAAGGCAAGATAATGTATATACTGTAATGTATTACTGTAAATCCACTTCCAAAATGTATTTATGTTTCTATATGCAATATAAATTAAAGTTGAGTAATGTCTGGAAGGTCTACATCTGGGGTATCTGGATTATCTTGCTGGACATGTGGGTCATCAGCTGTGTTTTCTGGAGCTGAAGTGCTGGGAAGAGGATTCTAGTTGCTACTACTGTGCTTCTTGTTAGTAATCCTCTGAAACATGCCTTGTAGTGTTAGTTGCTTCATATATTTATGCCTTTCTTTGACAAGAGCATTTCTTATTGTACACACACTCGTCACTTGTTGTTCAGGTATAAAATTTCTTTGTGCAGGCCCTGCAATTAAGGGTAAAATTTTAGTAATCCAAGGTAATATAGGAGCCTCAATCACTGTAAAAGTGCTGTGGCAGACATAAACAGTATGGGGCAGCAGTGGTGCCACAGTTGGCCAAGTGGCAGTTATGCAA